TGGCGCCTTGCTGCTGCCTCTCTACAACCCCAGTGAGAGACTTGTCGTGCCCCTCGCTTAGGGACACTGAGGCAAAGAACTCGTTGAGGAGTTCAGCCTTGTCCCCTCTGTCTGTCACCAATTGTTTCTGCCCATTTAGCAGGGGTCCTATTCCTCCCTGGGCCTTCCTTTTACTCCCAATATATCTAAAAAACAATTTCTTGTTGTCTTTTACTTGGGTTGCCATCCTCAGCTCCACGGTAGCTTTGGCCCGTCTAACTGCCTCCCTACAAGCACGAGCAGAGGAGGTATATTCGTCTTTGGTGATCTCTCCCTGTTTCCACTTTTTATGTGCTCCCCTTTTGGCCCTTAGGCTGCCCTGGATTTCTCTGGTCAGCCAGGGAAGCCTCCTGGCCCCTTTCCCCCTTTTGCCTCGCTCAGGGATCGTCTTGCTTTGTGCCCGAAGGATCATTTCCTTAAGGCACAGCCACCCTTCTTGGACTCCCATCACTTCAAAACTCCTCACTTCAAAACTCCTACTCTGCAGTGCATCCTTGACTAATCGCCTGAGTTCATTGAGATCAGCTTTCCTAAAGTCTAGCACTTTCACCCTACTAGTTACCTTACCCCCTCGACGTCTTATGGTGAATTCTATTATTAGGTGATCACTGTCCCCCAGATGGCTACCGATCTGTAGGTTTGATATGACATATTCTTAGTAAATCCATATGGGATGCTTGTGATTAATCTTTCCTCCTCCAAATAATTGCAAATGGACTTCCTTAGGATATGCTCCAGTAATGTCCTTGGTATTGAGACAAGGCTAACTGGTCTGTAGTTCCCCAGGTCCTCCTTTTTGCCTTTTTTAAAGAGGAGCACTATGTTGGCCCTTTTCCAGTCTGCTGGTACCTGGGGCCTGTTTCTCACAACCTCATGAAGATCATTGCCATAGGCTCTGAGACTACCTTTGTCAGTTCCTTCAGGACCCTGGAATGTGTTCATCAGACCTGGGTGACTTAAATTCATTCAGACCCATCAAAAGCTCTCTGCCCATCTCTTTTGTTATCTCATCCCTCAGCTTGTCCCTTTAGCCAAATAATTCTTATTAGGTGTCTGATTGCAGCTTATTTTGTTGTGAAGACTATGGCAAAGTAGCTGCTGAGTAGCTGAGTTGCATCTTGTTAAAGAGCTTGCTTGACTATTTAACAGTGGACCCACAGCTTCCTTGGTCTTTCTTTTCTGGCCAAAATACTTCTAGAATACCTTTTCATTGTCTTTAACCTCCCTTTCCAGGTGCAGTGCATTTTTTTTATCTTTGCCTTCCTGGTTTTGTCCCTAATTTTGTCATATAATTTCCTAGTGACCTATTCATTTTTCCATTGCCTTTATGCTTTTGTTTTGCATTTGAGGCATCCAAGATGCACCTTGGGCAGCCAATTCGTGTCTTACCAATTGTGTTTCCACCGTGTTAGAACAATTTATTGTTGGGTTTCCAATACTGTGCCCTTTAGAGGCTTCCAGCCCTCCTGGACACCTTCACCTTTCTGTGCATCTTCCCATAGCACCATACCAATTAACTGCTTGAGTCGTTTAAAATCCACCTTTTTGAAATCTAGCATCCTAGTTCTGCTGACCTCATACTTTCCCTGTCTCAGGATCTGGAATTCTATATTATATCATGATTGTTTCCTTCACCTTCACATCCTCCACCAGTTCTTCCCTATTCATCAGGACAAGATCCAAGATAGATGATCCCCTAGTTGTATCCTCAACCTTCTGGAACAGAAAACTGTGCTCCACGTATTAGGAACTGGCTCAATGTTTTATGTTTGGCTATACTGTCCTTCCAGAAGAAATCCATAAAATTGAAGTCTCCCATTAGTACCACCTCGTAACTGGATGATTCTGTCACCTCCTTGAAGAGTGCTTCATCCACCACTTTTTCCTGACTTGGTGGCCTATAATAAGCCCTCACCATTATATCCATGTTGTATCTTTCACCTTTTATCTTCACCTAAATCTATTCATCTGCTATCTTCTTCCTCCTAAACCAGGGGACAAATGTATGTGTTTTTTTTAACAAACAAGGCAATACCCCCAACTTGCCTCCCAACTCTGTCCTTCCAAAACAGAATGAAACCCTAAAGACTGAAATTCCAGTCATAAGAGTTGTCCTACTAAGTCTGTGTGATACCAATCAGACCACAGTTCTTTTCATAGGTGGTGACTTCCAACTTATCTTGCTTATTTCCCATACCTCTTGCATTTGCGTACATACATTGGATGTATTTTGCATTTTGACCTACTCGTTTCCCTTTTGCATCCTTTTTTTGCCATTCTACATCTCTCTGGCAATATCCCAGACTTGAGAAGCTTCTTCTGGATCTTTCCCTTCTGGATTGTTTGCTGTGGTGGTAGAAGGATGGATGGATCCCATGTCTTGATAGCAGTCCTCCTCTCCAGAACATCCATCCATTGTCAGTGAATCCAAAGCCTTCACACATCAACACCACCATCTCAGTCGCACAATTATTTCCATAATACACTGATCCCTAGACAGGCCCTTGCCTTTCACTTCTGGTCTTCTTTGGTCTCCTCTGATCTGTTCAGTGTCACTCCTGGCAGTAGCATTGGTGCCTACATAGACAAGCAGGAAAGGTTAGTGGTCCAAGGGATGGATGAGCTCTGGCAGCCTTTCTGTGACATCCTGAATCTTGGATCCAGGGAGACAGCATACCTCCTGGACTTCTCTTTCTTCTTGGTGCAACGGTCTTAGGGCCTCCATCCCCAGGGTTCTGCACTTCCTGCTTTCTACACTGCCAAGAGCTCTACATCCTTGAAGGGAAGCTGTCAGGAGAAAGATTTTTAAATATCTGAGTTAATGCAGCTGGTTCAACTTAAAAACAGCTTAAAATCTAATTTAGTCTTTATTCTGTCCTGCAGTTTATTCCACTTGGACAATGAAACTACCAAAGTAACTTAAAAACTTCTCTCGCAAGTCAATTTCACCTTATTATTCTTGTGCTGTAGTTCAAATGCTGAGTATCTTGGTTGCAAACATAGTACAGAAGAACATTCAAGTCTTAACAAAAATTCTGTTCATTGACATTTCAAAAAAATTTCTTGGAAATACTGGGTTGTTAGGGTTTGTCAGTACCCTTAAAACCAAAATCCAAGTGCCAGGCCTAAACGACTTGAGTGTCCAACTTTTATCTATTAGGAAACTGGGCATATGGGGTGCCTGCAGAAATGCAGGGAGGCTGCTCTGATGCACTGTAATTCCAGCATGTCAGAGCAGACTCAATTAATTGTTTCTCATAACTCAATTAATTGAATCTGCTGCAACATGGTAATTTCTGTGCTCCAGCCAGCCTCCACATTGTGTGTATCAGTGTCCCCGCACTTCAAAATGGTGCTGGGGGCACTTGAATTAAAGCTTGTTGAATGAGATTTAGTCCAAGTACTCCCACTGCCGTTTTGAAGCACGGGGGCACTGATACTTGAGACATTGTTGCTCTTTAAATTAGAGCGGCTCTCAGAGCCGCTATAATTAAAGCACCACCCCAACCCAACCCAAGAGCATGTGTAAAAATGCTCATAAATTACCTTCTAAGTGTCAGAAGGCCATATTAGTATAGAGTAAATAGCAACCCTATAAAAGGAATTCAATGAGCAGTGAGACTCACATATATAAATATATATATATATATATATAAAAAGGACTTTGTCTGTCTGTCTGTCGGTCTGTAACGCTCTTGGAGGGCGTGGCTCCTGGCAGAGCGTGATTCTAGCCAGTGCTGTGCACAGGGCAAATTGCCCATCAAGAATGATGGCAGGGACGAAGCACGGGGCCAGACACAGGGGTAGGCAGGGAATGATGGCAGTGATGAAGCACTGCCATGAGGGTGGAGATGGAGCAGGGGTCTAGGCCAGCCCTTCGCCTCCCCCCACCAGCTCTGCTCCTTGGAGGCAACGGTGGCATGGGGTGGTGGCAGCGCTGCACTGGCCTTGCCCTCCCCCTCCCATCCCCATCATCATTCTTGATGGGCAATTCACTAGTTACTTATAAACTGCCCCTTAGATCAGGGGTTCTCAATCTTTTTGGTTTTGAGGCACCCCTCCATTCTTTTTGTGAATTGAGTGGCACCCAATTTCAAAAACTAATTTATATATTACAATGCTTACACCTCCTTGCAGAGGGGCTAGGCAGTGAGGGGGGAGGGGGAGGCTTGGCCAGGCAGGGACAAGCCTTAGCCTGGGCTTATCTACTTACCTCCTCATGCAACTTTCAAAGGACCGGGGGACATGTCAGGGTTTCAGGGAACCCGGTTGAGTATCAGTGCCTTACAGGCTTGAAGATTTAGTCTTTTCCTACTAACTTTTTTCTCTATTGCATACCCACACTGGCTTGCGTACACACAAGGTTGATATTAATGAATACTGAAGTTCTGGCATTTTTTTTTTTAAAAGAAGTCTTAAAGATATTTCACTGAAGGTGAAAAAAGCTATAAAAACCCTAGGACTTCTCAAACATTATGCCATCCAGCCCCAATACCATCCTTCTAACTGACATGAGGAGCACAATATCTATTCTGAATTTGGTCTATTCTTGACGATGATATATGCAATAATTTCTACATGAGCAACAGGAGATAAGGACCCCTGGTGTTCTGAATTGCAACCATGCTGGACTGAATGCTGGTGATAATTTAGCACTAACATTTTGTGACAGAAAATTACTGCGTATGCTAATCTCTAAAAACTTCCCTTCATCTCAAACTGTCTTTCATATGATAATTTGAAATATTTATCCTAGACCTTTATAGCTTTAAAAATGAGACAAGTAAAGCACAGAATGTCCTGCGAGCCTGGTAAATGTTTTGCCAAAGACATTTTTAAACATGCATCTTATTCAAGGATTCCCAGTTTGCAATGTAAAAGCAGAGTGTGCTGATGTAATTCTTAATGCTCATATGTAAATGTACCAATACCTCACTGATGTAGTTGTGTCACGTAATGTTCCTATTTGTGATTTATAGACAGGATAATTTGAGACAGAGAAAGCTTAAGTAACTTGCCTCCAGCAGTATGCACAGTTAGCTAACCCCAGGGTGGGGAATTAGAACTCATCTGATTTCTGATATTCAAGCCTCTGTATAATTCAGCAGGCCACAGTAGCATGATTTAAATACATAACTAATTAACTGTTGATATCTGTAATGTTATTCTTTTTTGGCCCCAAATACTGCAGTATCAGAGAAGCGAGTAAGAACTGAAAGTCCCTGGAGGAAGATCAAGAACGGAAAATTTTAGGCAAGTAGCCAGCAGAGAAGGCTGAACTTTTTTGTTAACTCAGTGGGATGTTAATTCTGGAGGACAAGCTAAATGTCAAATGCTATTAGTTTATTTCCCAGGGGAGAGCAAACCATTAGCCTCCTCCTTCAAATCTCCGGGGTCATGAGACCAGGAAACACCTGGGAGTCAAATCAGTCTCTATAAAGAGACTCACAGCGTACTGACACCGGCTATTATCTTGCAGAGCTGGAAAGGCTGCCTTTCGCTACAGGCCCACTGGGTGCTACAGCCCATCCAGAAGAGGCAAGCCGTTGAAGAGATTCCTGCCTCCAATCCCACAGGGAAGTTTTTTCTTTGTACACGCAGTCCAATGAATAATGAAGTCTGAATAACAAGTGAGATGCTATTGAATTGCTGCATACTCCGACAGGGCAAGCTCTTTCATTCCTCAGACAAAAGTCTTTGTCCAGATCTGGGGAACAGGTACATCTGGCTTACCAGCGAACTCTAACTTTCTAAGTCCCTTTGTCAGTGTTTAGTTATGTCTATTTTCAGGCTTCCTGGTTCTCTTTCACTTGTCACCTGTTTCTATTGCTGCCTGTTTCTGCTGTCAGGCAGGCTTGGATGGGACTTCTGAGTCTGCTCCTTTGCTTGCTGTCTGACCACTTGCTTTAAACAACACATGTGATTAAGGATAGGGGTAGGCAATTATTTGGGCCCACAGACCACACAGGAAGTTTTTTGTTGGTTTTTTTTTCTTGGGGGG